AAATTATGGAATCGCTCAAAATTTTATGTAAAACCATATAATTACTGTAATTTGTGGTTCTAAAACTAATACTTGTATCAGATTAAATTTGCTAAGTGTTCATGTGATTACCATCAATCATAACTCGAATAGCTGCATTTCTAACACCCTTCTACCAGTATACCCACTTTCCCTCCTCTGCACATGTCCAGATCATCTCAGTCTGGCATGTAATTTTAATCTCCCTTATTATTATTATTTGTATTTGTACTTTTTGTTAAAAATATGTCGTCTAGTATATGTCTAGTATGTCTTACATATACACATGCACTAAATTCCTTTTAAATTTAAAGTTGTAATGTAAGAAAGTGTGGAAAAGTTCAAGATATGTGAATACTTTTTTCAAGGCACTGCTGTAGTGTTACTGTATTTAACCCTTTTGTGCATTCTCTGTCACTAGAATAAATACAGATACCAACCTCTGCAGTCGATGTCTTGACAATAAACACCCTCTGGTGTGCACGTGCTGAAATGCAAAATAGACATTTATTTTAAAGTACAGTCAAATGTCTTTTCTCTGCCTGCCCCAGCTTTAAATGATTCTCATCCCATGAGTTTGTCTACTTTTATCTCACCACTGTTTACACTCTCCTGGTAGCCATGTGTCTCCCACACTGAGCTCCCGTCTGTCCAGCAGACAGAGAGGTGGACAGGATCCTGGGTTGCAGGATTTGTGCTGAACTTCTTCAAAGTGGCAATCTGTTCTTTCACCATCTGGGATCAGAGATCTGGTACAGCACAGGATACATTTATGTCTCATTACTTTCTGTTATTTCACAGAGCCTCTTCCCTTGCTACATTTTAGTTACTTGTCCTTCCTGTTACAGTGTAGTTCTCTCCTGGGTTCAACTCTGAAGATGATCAGTGTCTGTTCATGGACTCATTATTTAAATCGTTTTTTCTCTATTCTTTTTTCTTAGCTCATTCTGTTTGCCTTTTAACTTTGATCACTTTCCTTGAATATCTTACAATTATTTTTATTACCCGCCACTAAAATGCATTTGCTGACTAAAAAGTCCAACGAGACAATAAGAAAATACCTTTGATTCATGTTTAAATTGAAGCTTTTGAGAAAAATAGAAATGAATTAAAGCTTTCAGTTAATAAAACAAGTGATTTTGATAAGCACATATTTATAAAAAGCGTCCTCACCTGTATCTGGTTCTTTGGCCCTGCCCACAAGAGACACTGCATGTTGCCCAACTAGACCAGGAGCTCCAAACACAGGAAGTCTGGCAGCTGTGATTGGTGCAGAGGAGCTGTCCCTCAGAACAGCTGCAGTTGTTGCAGCTCACTTGATGCCAGCTGCCAGCCGCCCACATTTTCCCTAGTGAGTCCAGACAGTCGCACTGCCAAAGGTCCACACACACACCATCCTGCTTCAATTGACCTGAACACACACACACACACCAATGAGTGCTATTTAGATGACATTTTATCTGTTTATACAGTTGTGTGTTTTGTTTGTCTGAAGTTTAATAGACTATAGCTTTATTTCCAACAGTTGGTTTGTATTGCTTCACTTCCATGAACTGAATAAAACATTGTGGTGTCTTGCTGAATGAAAACCATTTTTATTTGATCTCTTTACTAAATAAGCCACTGGGGAGCCATTAGGCTCTTTTGTAGGACATTTTCGATAAATGGTCGCGTGGACCAGTCTGTCTGTCGGCTCCCTTGGGCCGTGGATAAATCATATTTGAAGTCACTCAGATGTTAGGTTTCAAAAATTAAGTAGGCTGAGTATCAAAGTGTCCACTCACACCTGATCATCATCCTATTGATTGAAAACACCTGACCCTAATTTCACCTTCAAATTAACTGGTAATCCTAGAGGTTTACATACTTTTACCACTCACTAATATGTAATACTGGATCATTGTCCTCAATAAATAAACGACCAAGTATAATATTTTTGGCTCATTTGATTAACTGGATTCTCTTTGTCTAGTTTTAGGACTTGTGTGAAAATCTGATGATGCTTTAGGTCATATTTATGCAGAAATATAAAATAATGATAAAGGGATCACAAACTTTCAAGCTCCACTGTATTTGTGGCAGTAGTATGGTATGGTTTGAGGCATGAAATAGAACACCAGCTTCACTTTAAGGATGCTGATGGAGAAGTATAGAGAGGGTAAGGAAGATGTGCTTTAGTGATAGATAACTTCGAGGTGGAGGTGGAATTGGATCAAGGATCAATTCTGAGCCTCTTCTTGTTTGCTCTGGTGATGGACAGAACAGATGAGCTCAGGCAAAGAGTCCCTGTGGATGAAGATGTTAGCAGATCACATTGTGATCTGTGAAAAGGGAACAGGTGGACGAGAACTTGGAAAGGTGCAGCTGAAAGAAAATGAATGCAAGTCAGACGCAGTAAGACAAGATTACTACGTGTGAGAATGGGAGGGAGGCAGACGGAACAGCAAGGCTACAAGAAGCAGATGTCATAAAAGTGCAGGATTTTAAGTACCTAGGGTCGACTATCAAGAAAAACTGGGAGCGTGTGAAAGAGGTGAAGAAGGGAGAGAGCAGGAGGGAATGGATGGAGACAAGTTTTAAGAGTCATTTGTGACTAAAGAGTGTCAGCAAAGGTCAAACCAAAGGGTTTACAAAACAACACAGACAGCTGATCAGCTATGTTGTATATTTGAGAGACAGCTGTGAGACAAAAAGACAGGAGAAAGACCTGTCAGAGTTCAAGATGTCCAGGTTCTACTTGGGAGTGACAACAATAGATAAGATTAGAAATGAGATTATCAGAGGTACAGCACTGGGAGATAAAGTTAGAGAGGTCAGACTGAAATGGTTTGGACATGTCCAGAGGAGGGACAATGGGTATATTGGTATATGGATGATGAAAGTCCAGCTGCCAGGAAAATGACAAAGGGGATTTTCTGGCCATGGCTACAACAAAGAAATAACTGACCATGCACAAACTTCCTTACTGTTTGTGTGTTGGAATCAAAAACATACAGAGCGAGGGACTGTATTAGTACCTTTAGGGCATCGACAGCCCGGCTGACATTCGGCATTGCCCTGGCACTCTATACCCTGCTGAAGGTCTGAGCAGTGCTGTGGACACTGTTTGGCACATGACACAAATTCTTGGCCCGGTGGACATCCTTTCCCATCTGACAATAAGCAAACACAAGAGAAAACTCTGCTAGAGCAGTGAACGACACAATGGGTAAAAGAAGACACGACTGTCCATGTTTTATTATAGAATTGGTGAATGTAATAAAGAGTTGTGTGAGAAAGAAGTGTTTGCAAGAACATTCGGGGGAGTGGTGGCGCAGAGGTTAGAGAAGGTGGGTCTGTGATCGGAAGATCGCCGGTTCAAGCCCCGGTACTGACAACATCATGGTCTAGGTGAAGCACCCCCACCCTCATCTGCCCCACTCTGGGCCCCTGAGCAAGGCCCCCAACTCCCATCTGTTCCCCAAACAGGTCTCTCTTGAAAATGAGTTCTCGTGGCTCAATGAGACTACCTGGATAAATAAAGGTAAATGAAAATTAAAAAAAAAAAAAGGTAGACAATTCAAAGTTAGCGTGACATCATTAACGGTAAATTGAACTTTAGGTTTAAATTATAGAGCTTAAACTGTGTAAAAACAGACATATAAAACATATAGACCAAAAAAAAAAAAATTGCTGTGTTTCTCATTTTTTATCTATAATTTGAATATTTCTCAAGAAGATACAGGACAAACATTATAAACACAGTAGTATCAAGGATGTTCAATAATTATGCAATGGCATTCTTAATAATGTCCTGATGCTGCTCGATAATCCAGGTAGGTAAATCTAACAAGGTTGAGACAGGTCCTCTGGACAGATTCTTCTTTGTTGAAATGTTTTGTCTTTTATCCAGAACACTTCTTCAGTTTGAGGAGCTGCAACAAACTCAGTCTTATGAGAGAAGGTGCTTCACGAGAAAGTGTTTCTGAGTTTGTTGCAGCTCCTCAGACTGAAGAAGTCTTTTGGATTGAAGATGAAATGTTTCCGCATAGAAGAATCCATCCAGAGGATTTGATTCAACCTTGTTAGATTCATAACAGATATTCATTTATTTATTTTTTTCCATTTCACCTTTATTTAACCAGGCATAAACACCAAGAACAGATTCTTATTTACTGTGCTGACCTGGCAAACACCAACAGGCACTTGTAGGGTCAAGGGAAGGGAAACGATAGTTAGGTACAACAATAAAATATAGAGGTCAATAACAAACAAGGAAATCACTAATTACATAAACAGTACATTGTTATAGTTAAACGACAACATTACTAAGTTATGTACAGAATGAGCTAACCTAAAACGATCATCTACATATCAAGCCAGTCAATAATCAGTAAATCTTACCACAAGGTTTGGTGTTGCACGGCTTAACCTGGTTCTTCTCACCATCACACTTCTTCCCACCATTCTTGGGTGGAGGGCTGGAGCAGGAGCGAGTGCGTATGGAGCGTCCACCACCACAGCGCTTATCACAAAGGGACCATGGACTCCATCGGGACCAACCTCCATCCACTGTGACATTAAAAAAAAAAGAAGTGAAACTTTGACTTTTTAAACTTTGATTTGAATAGTGGTGAGTGATCGGCTACTTTTGGTTTGTTTAATTTGATTATTGTGGTGATTTATAAGATATTTTGCTTACAGACCAACAGATTTGGCTCCAGTGCAAACATTTTGTGTAACAAGGAGCACTTGTTGCATGTTTTGGGGCAATCGACAGCTACTACAGCACTAAATGTTAGCACGGGTATCTGCAAAAATGACTCTAGTACATCACTTAGTGTTTTTAAGGTCAGTGGGCTGTAGTAGTCATCTTGAATGTTGTAGACTCTATAAATTAATCAGTTGAAGCTGTATATAGAGATCCCATATTATATGCTAGTGCTTAAAGAGAGCACTAACGACAGCATATTGGAAATGCTGCTCAACTTATATCACAACAAATTCTACCTCTATACCTATAGCTATTTTTCTGTGTGCTATAGAGTTTTGGCTCAAACTTTGCAAACAGGAAGATAGACAAACCCAGGCAACTGAACCATGGCCTCCTGTCTTTAATTTAGGGTTGATCAGTAAAAAAATATTGTCATATATTAAAGAAAATGCCATCATAAACACCCCTTTAAAGGAAACTAACCAACCCCATGTGACTGACCTCTGCAGGGCATTATATTGCAGAAGCGTTGCTCCAGGTTCCCAGCAACAATGTCCTCACACCATGAACCATTGGCTCCAGGTCTCAGGAAAGTTCGGATCCTCTGCTGCTGACCAACTCCACAGGATCGCGAACAGCTACTCCATTCCCCCCACGCCAACCATGAACAGTTCCTTTGTGCACAGTCAACTGCTGCGCACACCTCACCTACAATAGAAATCGGAACACATTGCAAAACTGTGCACACGATTTGTCAGAGCAGTAGTTTAATGGACAGTGATTACAGCTCCACCGATGCTGATCAGTGTGAAAATAACGCCATGATTAGACATGCCCTTCTTTTAGATCGACGTTGTAACAATTACAATTCAGTGTGGCCTTGGAATGTCCGTGTGCACAAACACCCAGAAACCACTCAGAGCAAGATGACTTTTGAGAAAATAAATAGACAAACTGCTCATCATGCTGAACAGCTCACAAGACGGACTGACATTTATGGCAGCAGCCATTTTAGATTTTGACCTGGCAACCGAATTTTTGAAATAAATCTTTCTTATCATAGATGTAGCTGCACACCAAAATGAAAGTCAGTACCTCTGCTTTTTTTCTTCTTCTTCAAATTATCAGGCTCATAACATGGAATGGTGGACTGTTGGACAAATGGAAGAATGGTGAATATTTCCAATTCCACCTCTTTGCTTTGTGACGGGGTGCAATTAAGAAAACTCCTTCGATGAAAAGCAAAACATCTTGAAAACTTAAAGCCTTAAAAACAAAACACTTTTTGATTGCCATGTGAGTGACTGGTAATATACACAAATACTATATATGTCCTGTACTGTAAAGACAGTACAGGAAGACAACTGAAAGTCATAAAGAACGAGTGGCCCTAATGGCTGGCTGGCTGCAGTACCATTTTCAAGTTCTTCACCTCAGTGCAAATAAACACAAAACTGCAACTATTTTTTTCAGCTGCTGATTTTGATTGATTCACATAGCTTTTAACCTGGTTCAAATATCCATTTTCTAAAACATTTAATTTAATTATTTGAGGTTTACAAAAGTGTAAACCCATCACGTGACATTATTTTGTCGTGACACTAGTTTGTCGTCATATTTAGTATCTGCATCGTTTTTATGTCTATATTCTGATTTACTTCATTTTGTATATTTTTTTGTGTGTTGTCTGTTGTTCTGTCTGCACAGCACTTTGGTTGGCCTTGTTGCTGTTTTAAGTGCTCTATAAATAAAATGGTATGGTATTATGATAATGATATAATCCTGGGGCAGTTGTTGAATTGGAAAGTCACTTCAACTTACGGAAACATCAAATTATTTAAAATGTTGAAAATATTACATTTGTATTGTTCCATTTTTTTTACATCGGTCCTCAGTCAGGTCATCTGGACAGTGATGGATGACCTGACTGAACGTTGTTGGATTTTTACCTGGATTATTGAACTTTTGGCATTTTTTACATCTATTTTTGTAAAATAAAATAAAAAGAAAACACTCATTAGACTGTCTGCTTGAGACAGAGACATGTAGGGAGAGTGCTGGATGTACCTGGACACTGAGGTAGGTTGCAGGCCTTCTCTTGGTGAGAGATCCCAAAGCAGACAGCTTTTGCACATTGTCGATGACGAAACTTCACAGCAGGACTTTGGACATCAGTGCAGGTTTTCGTGCAAGGACTCCACAGTGACCAAGACAAAAAGCCTGAATCTTCTTCTTATGGTAGAAGAGGAAGAACGAAGGGAATATGCAAATAAACAAGGAAAAATTGTATCTGAACAAAAGTTAACAAGAAACAAAAATAAGAATATTGTGTAAAATGTATAGAAGTAAAAAAACTAATCTTTACTTAAATTGTTTTGAATAAAAGTCCCAACATTACCTGGAATGGTTGGTTCTTCTGTTGGAATGACTGCAAAAATCCAAATCAAAAGTTCATGCATCTCTCTACCACTAACAAACTTGTCTCCATTTCCACAAATAGCAGGCCTAGCATTTGATGAAGGAACAGATGGGGTGATGTCAACAGGTAATGCCAACATTTAAAGTCAAAATATTTCACTAAGGTGTGAAAGGGCTCTGAGTATATGCTGGGGAGGATTTTACTATCAGTCTACTAACCATCAGTTTATTATCAGTCTCCACCACACCAAGACTTAGAATACAGTAATGTCTGAAAATAACTTTGTGTTTCCAAATGTGCTGGTTGTGGAATCCAGCTTAAATTGGGTATATTCCAGATGTTAATTAGTTGTAAAAGAAAACTTGAAGATTAGCTTCTGAAAGTTTCATCAAATTGCATCCAGTGGTTTATGCAATGTTTTGTGACAGTCAGGCAGAATTGATTATATTAGTTAATCATGAGGTTTTAAAAACAGATCTCATAATCTCAATTAGGACTTAAAATACGTGTTTGGGAACAATCTTAGCTACTAACAAACCAAACTTTAGCTCAATGGCTGTAAAATGGGGTAAATTACAAACATTATAGTCACAAATAAACACACCTCTACCCTGGCAAAATCATTATCACCTTCATTTGCGAGCAATAATTAGACTGTTCGTCTGTATATGAGACCAGCTGTACCTGGACAGTCAGGAGCCTGGCAGTAGGTAGTTTCCTGGCGTGGACCCTGACAGTCTTTCCCCCCAAACGCAGGTGCTGGTTGCACGCAGCCCCTGGTACGAGTCTTCACCCCTAAACCCCCACATGAGAGCGAGCAGGAGCTCCACAGACCCCAGGGTGTCAGTCCTCCATCCAGTGGGCAGTGTTCCAAGGAACAATTCCACCTGCCATGCTCACAGCCACTAAATGGGACAGAACGAAGCAGAGGTGACTGACTTAATTAGATGTGTTTTAAAGACAAAAGAAATTGAACAAAAAACAACAACCAATAAATTAATTTATAATTAAAAGCCTAGCATTATTTGAAGGAATGCATATCGACTGTTCCCTTTCAATCTTGTGCTCTGTTGAGTTGTAGCTATTTCAATCAAACTTTAAAAATAGCATTATGCGTAATCTCATATGAAAGCATGAGTTGTGAATGACTACATCAAATATTAACTCATTATTAGATAAATTAATAATGCTATAGCTATTTTTGTCTATTATCTATTGTTTACTAGTTATCTACTGTCCGGTTGTAGAGGCAGTATGTCCAGGAGGAAAACTGTCATTGCTCTCTCCAGCAACACTTTTCAGCACCTCCTGGGTGATCCCAAAGGATTACCTTTCGTCTTGTTGTTCATCACTATGACAGACCAAAGAATGCCCTAATTATTGCAACTGAACCCCCAATTTGTCAATTCCTCACCAGCTCCATCCTATCATCACTCATGAGCAAGACCCCAAGATACTTGAACTCCTCCACTTGAGAAAAAGACTTATCCTAACTTGGAAGGAGCATTACACTTTTTACAATTAAGAACCACAGTCTCAGATTAAATGAGCTGATTCTCATCCCAGCAGCTTCACGCCTAGAGGGAACTATCCCACTGCACACTCAAGGCCTTGTCCCAAAGACACAAACAGAACCACATCATGGTCTGACAATATTCCCAGTATGGGTCAGCAGCAGCAAGTTCTTCTCCATGGCTTCACCGAGTTCCTCCCAAGCCAAATATTTTGTACCCGCACCCACAATGGTCAAAGTCATCCTGGCCATTCTGTATTTGTCAGCTGCTTCATCAGTCAGGCATCCAGCTGCTAAAGGTCTTCTTCTTCAGCTTAATGGCTTCCATCACTGCCAGTGTCAACTAGAACTGAACATGGAGGTTCTTCAGTTGCTGCTGCAACATGCACCAAAATCTTTCAGTCCACATCTCCTGAAAGGTGCATTTGCAACAGATCCCCTGGAAGTGATCCTTTCAAAGTCCAAGTCACTTGTCTCTCATTGGACACATGAAAACCCTCCAAGAGATGTGAATTGAAAGCGCTCAGACAGACGTTACTTCCTGAAGTTCAAATTGCAGTGAGGTGTATCCCTTGTTCACCGAGGAGAAGTCCAACACAGAGCCACTCAGCATTGGGCTTGTGAGTACCCCCATACCTGCCTGACATCACGTTCCCTGAGTAACTCCATATCAGAGGAAGCCCCTCTCCAGGGTTTGGGTTCCAGAGCCCAAGCTGTGTTTAAAGTTGAGCAGAACAACATATCATTGATATCTCTCAATCTAACCCACCAGCTCTGGCTCTTTATCTAACAGTGAGGTGACATTCCATGTCCGTAGAGTTAGTTTATACAGCCATGATTCGATACACCCAGAGAACCTTCTTTACCTGCTACCCAGCTCACACAGCATCTGACCTTGACAGTCCTCCTTGCAGGCAGTGGGTCTATGTAGAACAAACCTCCAGTCTTTCTTTCAGTCTTGGCCCAATCTATCTCCAGGCCCCAAGCCTTCAACCCCCAGGTACTTTCCAGACAGCATAGCTTCCAAGATCACCATTTTAGTGTTGGTTATTTTTTAGCTGCTGCGATAGCCATCTTGAACTGGGATGACTCCAAGACATAATAATTTGCTCATTTACATTCAGTGATTAGTTTCTGAAAGTTTCATTCTAATTTGTGTATTGGTTTGTGATGTTTTGCTAATAGACAAATGGAGTTCACTTCAATCAAAGATTTATGCAAATACATCTTAGAATACGTAGCTTTTAGAATATGTGATTTGAGTGACACTCAACTATTACGTCAACAATTATTAGCATCTATGCTATATGTTATGCACCTGACGTTAGGGTCAATATTTGTCAACTTAGCTGAGTTAGCCATTGATGTGTAGTGATCACGTTTTTCACGTTTCAATAAATTATGTCAAGTGGTTGAACAAAACCTTTGGGAACAAACACAAAAAAGGTAAATGTAATATTGTCCGTCTTCACATTTTGGTGGTGGGCAGTAAGTATACTTCTTTGAAAATACTGTAGGTAATTTTTTATGTAAGAAATTTCACTGCTCACCAGGTGCTGCAGTCATGCACAAACGTCTCTCCAGATTGGAGCTCAGCATTTTCGAAGACGTTGCTGGAAAGCAGAGAAGACACCGGTGTGACAGACACACTCTGAAGAGAGGCTAGGAACTCTTTATCCAGCAGACATGGACACTCCTGAAACATACAACGGAGTGAGTATGTTTTTTTTTTTTTTGTTTAATCAATAATTTGTGAAAGTTTTTGTGAGTTTGGTTTAACTGGCCGAAACCCCCACCATTATGCAAAGTCCATGATGTTGGTAGGTCTGGGGGGGACAGTGGCAGCCTTCCTCACAGCCGTCAGAGTAGCAGCCCTCTTTCCCACTGACCTGAGCACAGCTAAAGGGGCAGCCTTCTCCATGCTCACACTCCCTGTACAGTCTGCCAGGAGGGCAGCCCACATCTGCACAAAATTATACAATGTCAAATCAAAACAAGAGTTATAGACACAAAATGTCAAAAATCATCCCTAAAATGTGAATATTTTTACTTGTGTAAAGAAAAAACTGACCAAGGCAGACTTGTGTGTTGCAGGTTTTGCTCTGGCGACTGAGGCCGTGGCAAGGTAGAGAGCTGCAGACACGAGAGCGAGCCTGCTGCCCTCCACCACAGCTAACTGAACATGACGACCACTGAGACCAGGGCAGCCATGGGCCCACCAAGTCTAGGAACAAGAACATCTGTTAACGTGAATGGTCCACGCCTAAAGGCTGTATCATTTAAATACCATACCATAGCAGCTTTATTAATAAAGCACTTTGAACAACTATAGGACCAACGTGCTGTACGGTTACAGTCAACAAAAGTCACAATACATAATAAAAACATTTAAGACTAAAC